CGTCGCGTCATGACCGCCACACCAGAGCCCCGTCCCGTCATGACCGCCACACCAGAGCCCCTTCGCGTCATGACCGCCACACCAGAGCCCCTTCGCATCATGACCGCCACACCAGAGCCCGGTCGCGTCATGACCACCACACCAGAGCCCCGTCACGTCATGACCGCCACACCAGAGCCCCTTCGCGTCATGACCGCCACACCAGAGACCCGTCCCATCATGACTGCCACACCAGAGCCTCAACCCATCATGGCTGCCACGCCGGAGCCCCGTCATGCCATGGCTGCCATACAAGGTTTTTTTTGGGGAGGGGGCCTATAGGACACAAGCTCCTGCGGATGTGGAGCTTGGGCCAAGACAGATAAGACTAATGGACAGTGTTATGGATCCACCAATGATGTCAGTTCGAGCGACTTGCATCCCTGTGGCCTCAGGGCTCTCAAACCCCGTGGCCTCAGTGCTGTCCAGACTGCAGGTCCTCCCTCCGTCAGCTGTACTGCCCATGATGGCGGTTGCCATCTTGTGTGTATGGGATGCACACTGCTCTCCAGTCCATGAATCTGCTCCAGAGCCTGTTCAAGTCCATGGATCCACTTCAGAGCCCGCTCGACACCCTAGAGCTCAGTCCTGTGTTGGCACCAACCTGTGAGGTTCTTGCCTGTCCTGTTTTGACCACAGTGGTCACATGTAAACCCTCTGCCAGTCCTGTCACGGCCAAAGAGGCCATCCCTGAACCCCTTGCCTGTCCTGTCATGTTACTGCCACTGAGACCATTCAAGGTTACTCTGCCTGTTCTGTCACAGCCAGGTGGTCTGTCCATGCTCCGCCATGACCTCCTGTGGTCTTCTGCTCCTCAGGCTTCACCTTGGTCACATGCTCTGCTCTGGTCACCTGCTCTACCGGCTCCACCCTGGTGGTAATCGTGGGGATCCTCAGTCCCGCCAGCTCTGCCCTGGTGGTCTTCAGCGCCGCTCTGGCTTCCAGGCCTGCCATTGCTCCACGGTCTATGGTCTCCGCCATTGCTCCACAGTTCAGGTCCTCCACTGCTCCAAAGTCCATGCCATGTTCAGGGTCCTGTTTTCCTTCACGGGCCTGGCCCTCCATCCCTCCCACTGTTCCGCCTCTGTATTACCACCCTCCTAGACTTTTAGAGTTTTGTTTGTTTTTGGGGTGGGTGTTTCACTAGGGCGTCAGGTACCACCCTTAGAGGGGGGAATATGTAACTTGGGTTTTGTTTCATATTCATTGTTTTCATGTCTTTTTTTTTCATAGTCATGGTTTCTGTCATGTCATGTGTTTCTTTTTCTCATTGGTTGGATTTTGTCATGTGACCCCCAATGTTTGATTTATATAGCACTCATGTTGCCATTGTCCATTGTCTAGCTTTCTTCATGTAACCACGGTTTGTTGAGTTTTTCATGTTTTGCTTTGCTAAGACTTGTTTATTGTGTTTCTGCTCACTTTTGGATTTGATGAAACTACACATTGATTCTCATTTCTTTTTTTATTTTTTGGATTCACCTTGCCTCCAGTGGACAATCATTACAGTTTAGTTTAAGTTGATGTGCAAAAACACACAACAAAATTACTAAAACTTTAAATACAATTAAAATGAAAACAGAAAATATGAAAATAAAATCGAATTAAAAAACTTCAGATACTAAAATAACACTGATACTTGACAAAATAGACAAAAGTGCAAAACTGCACTTGTATTGCAAGACTTTTCTGCCCTCTTGTGTAATACAATTAATTAATATTTTGGTTTATGTAACTTAAACGTTTGTGTTCAGTAATGATTTCTTCAAAAACAGTTCAGTCCTCCCTTCTGTAATGCCCTTGTCCTGTTGTCTCTTCCTCAGGAGTGATTTCATCATGTGATGGGCGTGGCTGGTGGTTGGAAAGGCGTGGCTCTGCGTTTCACGCTGTGTTTGACGGACGGCGTGAGCTCCTCCCCTCTGTTCCTCCTCAGCTGAAGACAGTGGGCGTGTTTCTAAATGTGGGCGGGGCTTCGATCACCTTCCACAATCCAGTAACTCAAGAGTTTCTTGCCGCCGTCCCCTCCCACTTCAGTGTCCCCCTCCGTCCTGCTCTTCAACTGGGCCTGGGAAGACTGAAGCTCCGCCCCAGCCTGCCGCCGCCCAATCACGTCTTTCTCAGCCACAGCTCTGCCTATCGGGGTCCAGGAGGGGTGGGAAGTGTGCGCTGGAGGCGGGATGTACCGTTCGGGTCGGTGAGGACCGTGATTCAGAAGTTTGAGGAGATGTCGGTCGTATCAGACTCGGATTCGGGTCTCGTGTCCAGCGTCAGCTCACTGTCTGAGACCAATAACAATACAGAACGGCTCCGTTCCAAAACCTAGTACAATTTCTACATAGACAGCATCGTAAGGCGTGCTCCCTAGGTAGACAGGAACATTATGCCGCCTTCTAAGATCTCTTCTTTTGGACAAAATATAAAGCAGCATCACATGTATGCTTCTTAAAAAAGTTTGCAAAATGCAAACAGCGCCACCTGTAGGGCAGAAGCTCTTAAAGAAAAAACAAACAAAATGTATCTACATTTTTTAAAACAAGCTCATTTATTGTCTTGCTTCTTGTGGTGATTTTATTTTGTTTATATTCAGTGGGACTATATTTTCTGTATTATATTTAGTGATTGCAAGAGATTGTGTTTCCAAAATTATGCACATTAAACAAACACCTAATTAAAATACTGTACAATAACCAAAGATACCACAACTCATATACAGGAAATAAATACAATTATTTGGAAATATTAATTGCATGATCACAGTCAAACTACCTGTTAACTATTTTTTTTTTTAAAGCTTAAAAATATTCCTGAAATACTGTAAATAATATGTAAATAATAAAACCTGTTTATTATTACATGTCTCTCTGGGATACTTGATTGTTGTTGGTCAATGGCAGCATTCAGACATCAAATATTTATGAATAATGACACTAAATTATAGCTATATCTAAAGTTTCATAAAATATCTTAACAGTGTCTCAAACTGTGCTCAGATTTGCTGAGAAACCAAAAACTGTAATAAGAAGTCTGAGATCTCAATATGAACTCAAATATTTCTCATCAAATTATATAAGCAGTGTTATTTTAGCATCTTTGATATACTGTCATATTTTGTTAATATTTTACATTAGATTTTATTTATATAGTTTTGTTTCATTTTATTTTTTAAGTTGTAGAAATTTGGGTTTTTGTAAATGTTTTTGTCGTTTTATGTATTTTTAAAAATATGTCTCTAAAGTTTTTATTAAAGTTTTAGTTTAAATACTTTTAGTTTTTTTTGTAATACTTAAACTAAATTAAAATGAGAAATGCTGCCTTGGCAAGTAGCTGAAATAAAATAATTGTTTTCATTTCATTTTAGTATTTTATTTTATTTTCAGTTAACATTTATTTTATTTCAAGTAATGAAAATGACTTTTTTTTTTACTGTTTTAGTTTCAATTAACATTCATTTTATAGCTTAGTACTCTTATTTTATGACAACTATTAACTCATTTGGGTGTTTTTATTTATCATTAAGAATTGTGTGAAAAACATCTGACACAAATTTAATACTGAAATAAAATCTGTCTAAAAGATCCATTCTATGAGCAACAATTTACAATTTTCTTCAAATACTTGAATAATTTGACAGAATCTTGATGAATCTAGAATTGTGCTTCCTTCTCTTTTCTCACACATTCTCTCAGCTCTGTGTTCGCGTTTTGGATGGGACAGTGAATTCATCGGACCACACACACACACACTGATGTCTTGTATATTGTCTCCTGAAAAATTGATCAGCATCGGTCTGTCTGAGAGACAGGAGGAATGTTAAAGGCCTCTCACATTAGTCGTACGGTTTACTGTTCAGATAAACCACTCAAAAACAAGGCTTGAAAACAAGCATGCACGTCATTTACCTTGTAAACACAAACTCTGTGAGTGTCTTGCTCTGGGAAAGTGGTATCTAGATCAGCATTCACAGGCCGATCAGAGAGAGAAAGTGTTGATTTTATTGCTCACGGATTGATCTTTCATGTGGAGGTCTCAGTTACGCCTCATTTAAGTGTTAGCTTGTCTCATGTTTCTTCTACAAGTTCAAAGGATAAATAAACAACAAGAGACACAAATGAGTCAATGACGCTCATACAAAATGTTTGAGTTCGTATTACTGGCATCTTTTTCCTCAGGAAAAACACCTGAGAAGCAAGATATAGTTAAAGAGATTCTAAGAATGTTAAAATATCCAGTTTTCTTGTCACGATTAGAACATTATTTAAAGGTTACAAAAACGTTTCTCACAATGTTCTACTAATTTGTTCACCCAAAATATAATTTATTTGAATGTATACTTTTAAAATTCTAAAAACATTAAAATGTCCAATTTTCTTGTCGTGATTAGAGCATTATTTAAAGGTTACAAAACCGTTTATCACAGCGTTCTGCTAACTTTATTTTCACCCAAAATATAACGTCATTTGAATTATTATTTTTAGAACATATTCGTAAAACAGAATGTTTTTCTCTCAATGTTATGAGAACATATTTCAAATATTAGTAAAGTTACATGAACGTTCCATAAACCTCATTTTAAGAATGTTCTGTACTAACATTTATATAACTTTCCCTGTTAACTGGGTTCCTACTGGTGTATATGATATGTTCTCCAGGTTCGGCTGAGGTGAGAAAGCAAAATGCAAGGCCACCAATTCACACCAGGGTCTGATCAAGCCGCATATTGAAACAGTCTGTCTCCCCTAATATGCATGAAGGAGCTGCATTTGCATATTAAATGAGTAATTCTGTCTGTTAGTGACCTGTTAACTTCATCTGTTTCTCATTATTATTCCATTATCACAATGCATTCATGTCGTGACGCCCTTGAAAACGGCATATCAGTGAGTTCCTGCTGAAAACAAATGTTTCTCACAAACCAACTCTGATTCATTTTGCCTCACGAGTGACTAGTTCGTTGTTTTTGTGTTTTATTTCTACTTTTGCTGCTGCCAAAATGCATCAGAACCTATAAATGAATAAATGTTGAGTGAGTCAGCCGCCTGACGCCGTATGTGTGTCGTAATGATGATGTCTGGACGTGATAAACACTCGGTGTGCATTGGGACAGGATGTGTGTATTTACTGTTTCCCGACAGTTTTCAAACATTCATCAGATAGAGAGACACGGTGACTTACCATCATCAGGACCACGACACCAGTCATCCACCGACAGATAGAAGAAGATTTACAGATGTTCTGCTGTAAAACCCTCTGCAAAACAGATGCATATTAAAAGACGATATACACACAAATAAAGCAATGAAACAGACTAATAGTGAATTCATGTACACAGACAGCCCAGTGTAGTCAGGTGGATTCAAGGCATAGGCATTGCTTTTCATGCACTGCTCAATTTTGAGATTTGGCTTTACGTAACTTGTTGTTTCAGGTTGGTGGAAGGAAAACATCTAAAATACACTTTTAAGTCTTTATTTAATTGCATGTTATCTATTTGTGTCTGTAGATTTCAATTACCATTTTCTCAAAATGAGTTTTTTCTCCACTTCAGCAGCACTTACAGAAACCAAAACTTAGAGTTTTATTCCTCTCTATATTCTGAAGGTTTTTATAGAGGGGTTTGTTCATATATCATTCGAGCATTCTATTATTGCACTTTATCTATTTGCATCTGTAGACATTTTTTCAATATATATCTTTAAAGTCTGTTTTCTCAAAATCATTTTGTTTCTCCACTTCAGCAGCACTTACAAACACCAAAACTTAGGGTTTTATTCCTATCTATATTCTGAAGGTTTTTATAGAGGGGTTTGTTCATATATCATTTGAGCATTCTATTATTGCACTTTATCTATTTGCATCTGTAGACATTTTTTCAATATATATCTTTAAACTCTGTTTTCTCAAAATCATTTTGTTTCTCCACTTCAGCAGCAATTACAAACACCAAAACTTAGAGTTTTATTCCTGTCTATATTCTGAAGGTTTTTGTAGAAGGGTTTGTTTATATACCATTTGCATGGTTTTATTATTGCACTTTATTTATGTATATAGATTTCAATTATAATACATTTCTTTAAAAGCTGTTTTCTCAAAATGAGTTTTTTCTCCACTTCTGCAGCACTTACATACACCAAAACTTAGAGTTTTATTCCTATCTATATTCTGGAGGCCTTTATAGAAGGGTTTGTTCATATATCATTCGCCTGGTTTTTATTCCTTTACGTTTTGTTCTGGTTGTTGACAGTATTTTCTGATTTATGGAGTGATAAAAAGAGAAATCTAAAATCCCCTCTATAAAAACCTTTAACTCTAATATGTCAACAAAATCAGACAAGAATTTTGAACCTGGCTTTATCCAATGTTCAGGAAAATTGTACAAGTTCATATTTAATTATATAATGCCTAACTTTCATATTTAAACATAACATTTCAAAAAACGGTTTGCAATTCTTAATGTAATCAATCAACTGGGTAATTATGGTGAAATCTATAAGTTACCTGGGGTGTCTTGACTTTTACACCTGACAAAATATTTTACAGTGTATGTTCATATACTAAGGCGATCCAAAAATGGTATATTTAATTGAAATGCAATGGTACTTTCATAAGTACCATGGTACATATTCAGAAAAGGCTATTTAAAGCATATAAAGGTACTACCACCATAGAAGTACCAAAATATACTATATAGTTTAATGTACAGTATATCATTGTCCTTTGATATATACCATGTTACTGATTGCATTAGATTCACACAAATATTATGGTTAAAATCAATTAAAACAAGGTAAAAACAAGGTAAATCAATGGCAATACCACATTGTGTTTGTGTCATTATGATATTTGAGTTTTTCTCAAACACACATATGTCTGTGTACTATTACCTGAAATCTTTTGTCTAAGAAAAGACAGAAATATCATCTTCAAATTGAAGCAGATTTAGTGTAAATGCCTCTGCAGAACAAATACATACTGAAAAAATAAATAAATACACTAATAAAGTAATCAAACAGACTAATAGTTAAATAATGTACACAGATAATTCAATGTAGTCAGGTGGATTCAGGCATATTAAAGCATATTTTTGACTTTTAAATGGTATGTTTTATGGAAATGCAATGGGAAAAAAATTACTTTAAAGCATTTAAAGGTATTACTACCATATAAATATCAAAATACTATACATTTTAATGTTTAACTGTACTTTGATATATACAGGTATATATATATCAAACATTTATATAGTCAAAATGACATGAATCAAGTGAGACTAATTAGATGTAATCATATTAACATAGCTACTTAAACATATCGTCGTTTGTGCAATCGTATTATCTGAAAGTTTTGCCTAAGAAAAGACAGAAACTCTTATCAGAATACACACACACCTCTCCCCTCATTATAAGACGAGGTTCCTGTCGGTTTCTCCTCGTGAATGCGTCCATAATATCTTCTGTTATCACCTCATGATGAAATGCAAAGAGCTCGTGATCGATTGATGATCGATTCCCATTCTCGGCGGA